TTTTCATATGAACACAAACATGCACTCACCCACTCACTCTCACACACCACTCCTCACACACAACACACTCACACTCACACACTCACACTCACACTAACACTCACACACATACACTCACACTTACACACTCACACTTCACATTCACACTTCACTCACAACTCACTCACACATCACACACATCACACACACACACACACACACACAACAGACAACATCACACCACAGAACACACACACACAAAGACACACACACACACACACAGACACACACACACACACAAAGACACACACACACACACAAAGACACACACACACACACATAATCTAATAATAGGCTGGACTTATCAATGCTTGGATTATGAAAACCTTTGTTTGTATCTGCAGTATTTTGCAAAATACTATAATCACTGCATCAGTAAAACTGGTATTTGTAACAGATCACAATCAAAGCTTATTTATAACTGTAAGAAAAGAAAAAGGTTTTAGATTTCCCCAATAATACATTTGTTTTTTCCTCTAAGAGAGAGGAACAAGCATTTGAGTGTTTAAGTATATATGTAAGAATATGTGAGTGTTTGAATTTGTAGTTTTGCTGTTATAAGGAGTGTAAGGACATGTGTAAACACAGTGGATTCTGGTGTAGGTGTGGGTATGTGTGCAAGGTAAATGTAAGTTTAAAATTAAGAGGAAGTGTGCACATGCATGCAGGTCATTGTATATGAGAATGTGTATGTATGAAAAATTAGGTACTCAACAGTAATAATGTGTGTGTGTGTATGTAAAAGTAGGTACTCAATAAAACCTATGAAAGTAACATTCTCCACACACAACAATAAAAATCATAACACGCAACCAATACAACTAAATCAAATATACATTTGCATACAAATACATATGTTAAATCACTATGAAGATATCAAAATCACATGAAACATATACTTCTCCAAGTTGGCACAATATCCCCACATAGTCCAATCAAAAATACAGAATGTAAGAACAGGACGCCAATATCAGCCACAAAAATTCCTGTAACTGGGAAAGTAAAATAAAAATAGAAGACTGCATAGTACTTCTTCAGTACAAGCACATCTTTGGGATAATACCTGCACAGATGCAACTATAAGGAAAGGTAACATGGCCATAGGCATGCGCAAAATGTTCAAGAGGGTTAGAGATGTGAAAATCTTGTCAGCAGTCAGGATGTGCGTTGGGTCAGTCATGACATACGTTGTGAACATCACAAATGTTACCTGGAAGTGGGGTTGAGAGTCATGCATAGACAATAGGGATGAGAAAATGATTATATTCAGAGAAAGTTAAAAGACATTAGGAAAGTACACTTGATGGTATTACTATATATCATATACTGTATAGCTACATCTACTTTGTTTAGCCAGATCCTCTTTCTGGAAAAATAAATTTATTATCTAACTATAATGTAATATCTATCAGTCTAAACTCTATTTAAAAATTCAGTAATAATTTATGAAAAAAGGACAAAGAAAAACAAAAGCATTACACCAGAACAGCATGAACATCAACAGTAATAATGACAATGATAATAATAATTATTACAATAATAATGATGTTAATAAAAACAATGATAGAAATATCTTATAACAAATGTAAGTGAACCTTAAACTGTACATGTAATACATGTATAGCTTTAGTAATAAAAAAAGGAGGGGAATACAATTTTTCTTGTGACTGATTTTCTTTAGTGAAACTTTAGTTTAATAGTAATAAAGTTTCTAAAGTGGTACTGCTATAATCTAAATACCTAAAATAACCCAAATTATTCAATGTTGTTAATACAATCATGATGAACATTAACTGTCATTTATATTCATAAATATTTCCCCCAATACAGTGTAAACAGATCAAACACTTCAATGTTTGTGGTTGTATACTATAAACTAGCTAAATGACATAACTTTAACATTGAACACCTACCAGGAAAGGTGTGCAGGTCCAAATGAAGGAAGTACCTGCATTGAGGTAAGCCGATTTCTTCAGTACTTTAATCTCTAAGTTGCGGACTCCTAAGACTTGCTCCTCAAAGGAAGGTTCCCATGCATACAGTTTCAAAACCTGAAAAAACAGTCCATCATACTCCCATAATGAGGCAAGAAGTTTTCTGTGATAATGATAAACAGTTAAAACTAACCATACACTAAAATCATGAATTTCACATCTTACTTAGATATGGTACATATTTCTCTGTAGCAATCTGATTACAAAATGGAAAAAATATATATAGAATTATACTCTAAATTACCCATTACACTACAGGCAATGGTACATTAAGTGTAACTCTAACCAAACAAGCAAGAATTCACACCAACCTTAATGCCATTCAAGATCTCGTTCATGAGCTTCACTCGTTGGTCCTTGTTCTTCATCTGACTGATCTGGAACTGCTTGGTCTTATTAGCAATAAAACCATTCACAGGGATCAGCACTATCATAACAGCCAGGCCAGCAAGTACAGATGGTCCTAAAGGAGATCAAGTTCATTTATTCTCACTATTCCATAAATTTCTAATAGAATACCAACCAAAAATAATATAATTTAAGAAGCCAAGCGCATGTTAGGCATCCTGTAATAATGAAATGATGAAATGTTTATATTCATTTTCAATGTTTCATTCTTTATCTTTAATCTTTCCATCTAAACCAGTTTTTCCTATCACCATGACCTCTCCACCTCCTTAAGTCCTTAAATTATTTGGCAGCAAAGAGTCCTTAAATTATTTGGCAGCAAAGAGCCCTTAAATTATTTGGCAGCAGTGTTAGTAAACAAAACATTCAGCCTGTTTTATTTGATATCACCCAAAGTACCAAGTCCTTAACTGATATTTTGCTTGATATAATAAATAGTGTGCCTTTTATCCTATCTTAATGTTATATATATTCCCATACCTAGAAGATCCCACAGGAAATAAAGTGCCAAAGCAATCTGCAGTGGTGCAGACCACAGCATGTTGATGTATGAAGTTAGATCCATGAATCGCTGGGCATCAACAGACATTAAATTGACAATCTCTCCAACAGTAGACTCCTTTCTTGCAGAGCTGGAAATGCGCAGAGCCTGAAATAAATCACACATATTAGCTCTAGAAAATTCAATTCACATATTTTGAGTGATTTTATTACAAATATAAATCTTCTATTTCTTCATACTTTTACATTCGTCCTTTACCTTTCTGTATACTGCAGAAATTACACCTGTTCTGATTCTTAAACCAGCTAAGAACATGCTAAGAACATACTTTCATAAAATACTATGTCCAAGCACAAGCAGACTGGTCTGTGCACTCAACACAATCATGAGATAGATATGTACCCTTTCCATACAGGTTCATCTTCAGATTCCGTGAAGGTGATCAAGGCACTGAAAATGAATGTAAAAATAAAATTGGGATCATATCCAATGAAACTATATTTAGTCTGCCAAAACCAGAAATAATCATCTTGACCTACTTTTGCTGGGTACATATACTATCCATTGAAATCTTTTCTAGTTAATTTTGTCTATATATAGATGACTGACAACTTTTCAGAAAAAAATCTTAATACCACTATTACCACTATCAATCCTATGGTTATTGTCTGTGTTATTAACAGTATCATTATCATCATGTCATGTCATTATATCATATTTAAAATGTGATCATAAAATTAACTCTATACCACAACTAACCTGTAAGTATCTGTATGGTATTATAAAACTTAGCAATATACACTCAGTCATGGAATAACTTCAATTGTATGATGACTTCCAAAAAGAAGTTAGAGATCACAAATGTGGATATATTCATATTAGATTGTGAGTATGGTTAATTGATATAATACCATATTTCATACTTTCTTTATGGCCTTTTCCTACTTCTATTTATTAACTCCACTTCAGTAGAGTTGTTGGTAGTAATACCATGCCGTTCTCTCTCTAGACTTATTATCCTATGCAGTAAACATAAAGCAGTTTACATTTTTATCATTCCTCAACAAAATGTTTCCATTATAATTATAATATCTTCATGTGTGTAGCTATAATGAATATAATCTAAGTATATCTTATGAGTGTAGAATAAATAAGGGCAGGACTAATGATATTAATAGGTCTTATCTTTACTCAGAGTAATTAAAATTTTTCTAATCAGTTATAAAATTCATTATATAAAATAATTAGTCATGACAGCCCACCAAAAATACATATTATATCACATATCCAATATATAACTCTTTATCGTGTTATGTGTACTGTGCGCTAGATGTGCGATGCTTCTCCAGTGTATTTTTGTTATATCCATACTTTCTCATACATTGTGGTGCTAAGAAGCTATTTTTCATAGGGTAGTAGAGTACTCCAAGGTCTTACTTCATTCTCTAAAATGAGTGTACTTCTGTAGCCCTTCCAAATAAGTGAAGTCTCAATCTCAGGAAATACAAGATTCGGTGAGTTAGAATAAAGTATACGGACACCCAACTCTTCTAGATACAAATAGTTATATGCATTGTGAGTGATAGATATAATTACAAATTTTGTAAAAATAAAAGTACATTAGGACTTTACTCAACATCATATATAGGAATGTATTATGATGTATATTATCTTATAAAACTACGTAAATGAACAATATCTCTCTAATTTAACAAGTTGATATGGTAAGTACCTCATTATGTCAAAAAGGGATAATTAAATAAAATATATAATATTAATAATAAAGAAAAATATAAAATATAAATATAAAGTTAAATTTTTAATAAAAATATATATATAAAAAAAAATATAAATTAAATAAAATAACAATAATATTTAGTTGTTAATATATTATTGTGTGTAATGATTATAATACATTTATTAAAATAATTATTATTATTAATCTATATATATATATATGTAAAAAATAAATTATTTTAATAATAAAAAAAATAAAAATATATAAATTTTATAATAAATTTTTAATTAAAAATAATTAAAATAAAATTTTTAAAATTTTAAATGTATATAGTATAATATAAACTATATAGTATATATTAGTATATATATATATATATAACTATATAACACTATATCATATATATATACTATATTACTATATATATCGTGTGTGTGTGTGTGTGCTGATGTGTGTGTTGTGTTGTGTGTGCTGTGTGATGTCTGATATTGTATACTTATATATATTTATTATATTTATATATAATATATATATTATATTTATATTATATTATATGTGTGACTGTTGTGTGTGTGTGCTGTGTGTGTGTGGGTGATCACATTGTGTACAATAATATGTCATATATATATATATTATATATATATATATATATATATATATTATATATCATATTATATATATATATATATACAATATATATATATATATATATATATATATATATATATATATATATATATATATATATATTATATATATAATATATAATATATATATATATATTATATATATATATATATTTATATATATATTATATAATATATATATATATATATATATAATATATATATATAAATATATATATATATATATATATATATATATATATATACATACATATATATATATAATATATATATATATATATATATATATATATATATATATATATTTTTGTGTGTGTGTGTGTGTGGGTGTGTGTGTGTGTGGATGTGTGTGTGTTGTGTGTGTGTGTGTACTGTGTGTGTGTGTGTGTGTATGTGGTGATATATATAGTATATATATATTATATTATATATGTGTGTGTGTGTGTGTGTGTGTGTGTGTGTGTGTGTGTGTGTGTGTGTGTGTGTGTGGTGTGTGTGTGTGTGTGTGTGTGTGTGTGTGTGCTGTGTGTGTGTGTGTGTGTTGTATATGTTATATATATATATATATATATATATATATATATATATATTATAATATATTATATATAACTATATATATATATTCGTGTGTGTTGTGTGCTGATAAATAGAACGATTTTTAGGAATCCTTCATAAGAAAGTATGTGGATAAATCTCATCGCCCCCCTCACCACACCAAATTCTCTACATTTACCTCTGGCCTCTTATCGTAAATCACATAATACTCTGGTGTAGCGTCCCCAAAGCAATTTGATAGACTAGCATTACTCAACACAGTAAGCTAGGTTGAAAATACACTACATTATATAAGTCTCATCAAAAACCGTAGAACATAATATACTTTAATCATTAGTTTCCTTGGAAGATAAAAGAATAAAATATCTAATATGAACATCATAGTATCATAGATAATTCATGTGGAAAAGCTTTATAAGAAAGGACAAAAGGGCATAATATATAATGAGATATCAGCATAATTTGTATGAGCATTTGCTGGTAGATATGTAGATATAATTAACTCTATCCACACTTATTGTATATTGAAACCAATTCTATTATTGTCACTTGCAAGTTCAGTTGCCCAGTGATGTTACAAAAGTAAAAGCATTAATGATGAGTAAATATATACTTTCTAATAATTTCCATCATCAAAAAACTGTCACAAGACACTATTAAGCTTTGCTGGTTTTTGCTGGTCTGTGTTGAATTGTTTTACATAAGTAATCTTACTATTGTTACTTTCTGGGAAAGCAATAAATCATATCAAATAAAAAAAAAATGATCAAAGTAGGCAGAAAACATGTATGCCATTTGCAATTCCCATCATTGTTTCTTTTTTCTGTCAAAAAATACCACTTTTGATCAATTCACAAATTAAAATTAAAATGCTACATATGATGTCATTATCACATGTTTTCTTATCAGTCATGAATACATAATATGCTAAATAGTTTTGTAGAATTTAATACAAATTACAGAACATTCTTTTAGGCAAAAAATTCATGCATCATTTAAAAAAATTCAGTGGCCTACAGATCTCCAGGGATAAAGTATAAAAGATTTTAAATACATCTACTATTGTCTGTGCATGTCACTGCATGACATATAAGAAAGTGTTACCTGCATAAGTGGGCATACAAAGGGTAGATTTCACTTTACTTTTTAAAGCTATGACCTTCCTGATATCAAAGATTATACTATACATTATTATATACCTACTCCAGTAACAAATTTATACTGGCCATTCCCTTCCACTTTCAAAACAAACACAGAATCCCTCCACATGCTCTCCAGCATGGTGTATTTCTATGTATATGACTAATGGTTGTAAGACTGTTTCTTATTGGTGAAATTGGCAAGACAATGAGGATGATAATGATTGTTTATCATCATCATTATCATCATTATTATAATATCCTCTTCTTATTATCATTATCACTATCATTATCAACATTGTTATCATTTTTATTGATGTCAACCCCCAAAAATATCTGCAAAAAATAAAGAACCAAGCCTCTGTCATTTTCACCATAGGCCTACACCATACAATCCTGGCCTAATGAAAATGAACATATTACACATACTCACCTCATTTAAGACATTCAAGAAGTATGTGCGGTACTCTGGAATGCCGAATATAACCAAAAGTAGCCAGAACATGAAGATTACACCTGAGCTTTGTATCCCCCGTTTCTTCTCCATCAGGATAAAAACCACTTGAAGTAGCTGTAGAATTATATCAATTATACTATTAAAGTAAAAGATGGTTGTAAAAAACACTTTGTAATCTTTTGCCAAGAAAGGCTGCAACATAACAGGTTCATTTCTCTTAGCTTATTATTACTATTTTCCCTCTAACAATGGAAATATCCTGCAATGCATTCATAAACTTTTAAAAACCCATATGTTAATGTGATCCTTTTTTATTCTTAACATCATTTACATTTCTTTACATAAGCTAAGAACTTACAATTGTAAAGAAAATTATTGCTGGAGCTGCATAGTCCACACCGTAAACATCCCCTTCATCATTTGCATTTCTATAGACGGCATGGAAAAAATCAACGCACTGAACAGTCATTAAGAGAGTTGACCCAATCTGCAAGTAAAAGTATAAACAGAGTTAAAAAAAGCAACTGTTTAAAACCTTTAAAATATTTATCCCAGGGATAAAACAGGGTGTATATATATATATATATATATATATATATATATATATATATATATATATATATATATATATATATATATAAAACATCATTAACTACACAACACAGAAACATGATCCATAAAAATCACCATAAACACCAATACAAAAATTAAAAAATGGGTATACAAACCAGTTTAGAGATATTGATCCATGACCAAGGTACAAGCCTATCTGGGCTGTTTTTTAAATAGAAGATTTCCATGGGAGTAAAGACCCACAGGAAGAAACAGGGCACCCACACCAACACTGTGCGCTCGAAACATGGTGTGAAGTCGGGGTTGTCCGTGTACCATGTGACATTGGCATCCTGAAGAACAAGACAAAAGGGATTCTAAATCACATATGCAAGAATGTGTGTGAAGATCTCACATGTATCTTGAAAGTATAGTACACAGATTTATGGGACAAAAATGTTATTAATAAGCCCTCTTCTTGGTAAATTATAGGGGATAAAGATTTCTTAGAAATGCTGAAATATATAAACAAACTCATGATATAGAAATATCCTCAGCACTAAAGGTGGACACTAGAATCTCATATAATACTCGCCACAAGTTTGTATGCATTGTATATGTGTAATGCAAGAGGTAGAATCTTTAATAGGACATAAAATAGCATGCTTTTACATAAACATAAACATATACACTTACACTTACACACACACTCTTCATGCCCTCTCGCACACTCTCCGTGCCCTCTCGCACACTCTCCGTGCCCTCTCGCACACTCTCCGTGCCCTCTCGCACACTCTCCGTGGCCTCTCGCACACTCTCCGTGCCCTCTCGCACACTCTCCGTGGCCTCTCGCACACACTCTCTCTCGCACACTCTTCTCGCACACTCTCCGTGCCCTCTCGCACACCCTCTTCGCACACTCTCCGTGCCCTCTCGCACACACTCTCCGTGCCCTCTCTCACACACTCTCCGTGCCCTCTCTCACACACTCTCCGTGCCCTCTCGCACACTCTCCGTCTCGCACACTCTCCGCCCTCTCGCACACTCTCCGTGCCCTCTCGCACACACTCTCCGTGCCCTCTCGCACACACTCTCCGTGCCCTCTCCACACTCTCCGTGCCCTCTCACACACTCTCCGTGCCCTCTCACACACTCTCCGTGCCCTCTCACACACTCTCCGTGCCCTCTCACACACTCTCCGTGCCCTCTCACACACTCTCCGTGCCCTCTCACACACTCTCCGTGCCCTCTTCACACACTCTCCGTGCCCTCTCACACACTCTTCATGCACTCTCACACACTCTTCATGCACTCTCACACACTCTTCATGCACTCTCACACACTCTTCATGCACTCTCTCACACTCTTCATGCACTCTCTCACACTCTTCATGCACTCTCTCACACTCTTCATGCACTCTCTCACACTCTCATGCACTCTCTCACACTCTTCATGCACTCTCTCACATGCACTCTCTCACACTCTTCATGCACTCTCTCTTCATGCACTCTCTCTTCATGCACTCTCTCACACTCTTCATGCACTCTCACACACTCTTCATGCACTCTCACACACTCTTCATACAATCCCACACACTCATACACTCCCACACACTCATACACTCCCAAACACTTATAAACTCCCACACTCATCCACTCTCACACACTCATGTACTCACACACTCTAAGAATGTCTACAAATGTGTTTTGTTATATCAGGGATTTCAATTTTTCAGTCATCTTATCTTTGTGAATCTATAAAAGAAATTACATATCAGACAGACTTGAATTAGTCTAGCAAAACTCACAGAAATGTTCTTTCTCTTGTATGAGATTCCATAAGCTTAAAAAACACACAGACAACTGTATGAATATCAGTAAATAATAAAAATAAATAATAAATCAAGATCTTATTATCTCTAATACCATCCAAACTGTACATCAGTCTTAGAAATACTAGACAATTAATACACACGATAATTAAGAATGACATTATATCACTGTAAGATAACACTGACAAAACTGAGATATGGACAGATAAGTGAATGATGGAACACTACCAGTAGGTAAACACATGAGAACATTAAGAAACAATGAAGATAATATCCAATACATATTCAGCATGCACAAGAGTATGTAGCTTTTTAACTTTTCTGAAGTTCATGATCTGTAATCATAAGTCTGCACTATCAACAAAAAGAACAATTTTTTTTTTAATAAACCTTCATATTACAAAAGACATACAAGGGTCAAGGCTTATGTAAACAGAAAGCAGACACCATAAAATATGAAAAAGATAGAATCTATTTTAAAATTATCTGTGAAACATTAACAAATAATAATAATATTCCTGAAAAGTACAGCATCCTGGTTTCCAATCCCTCCATAAAAAAATCAATACAGGTTCTAGTACATACTTTAAAGTCTACAAGAAACCAACACTAAAATTCTATGAAGTACATTGACATATTCTCTATGCCCTTTTACAGCAGATATAAAGGAAATTTCAAATAGCAGGAGTTATCATGTTACCTGAACCTACTTCTGAAACTGTCATATATGAACTTCAATTTTTTGTATACTTATTATATGTGTAGTAGATGACAAATGAACCAGTCACAATCATTCTTAATTTGTCTAAAAATAAGTTAAATACAACAAGATATAAAAGGAACTTTACAAAAGGTTAACACAACAAATTTCTTTTAGCCTTTAAAAGTAATTAGCTGCTTCCATTGGGAAATAATAGGTTCCCAAAAATATAAGAGTGAAAACATCCAATTCATGAGCTGGTAGTCATATGAAACAACAGCCTACCATAACACTAAAAATACAATCTGTATATGAAACCAAAAATCTACAAGCCAAGATAATAAATAAATTGAGTCAGTTTCAATAGCATGATGTGGTTAAAGTTAAACCCTGTCTGAATCAGTTAACTCTATAAAATGACAACACATTAAGCTCACAGGATAAAAAATAGTAAGAGAAATGCTAATAAACTCACTCAGTGTTACTACATACATAGATATCTTTAAAATAGGAAATAAATATAGGTTCCCAAAAATATCAGAGCAAAACCATCCAATTCATAAGCTAGTAGTCATATGAAAAATATAGCCTATCATAATACTAAAAATACAATCTGTATATGAAACTAAAAATCTACAAGCCAAGATCATAAATAAATTGAGTCAGTTTCAGTTTCATGAGGTTGAAGTTAAACCCAGTCTGAATCAGTTAACTATATAAAATGAAAACACATTAAGCTCATAGGATACAGAATAGTAAGAGAAATACTAATAAACTTACTTAGTGTTACTACATAACATAGACATCTTTAAAATAGGAAATAGATATAGGATGTTTCCAAATGACACAAAGTATGTTTAGTTGTTAATAATGAACCTTTAGAATTAATATAAACTGCAGTTTATGCTTCATGGGGGCAAATAGACTCTTAATGTCTCCTGGAGTTAAACAGCTTGATTAGCAAAGCATTTAATTCACAGATCAAAAGTTTTTTACCAAGTAATGCAAAGACTCAAGCCCATGAGAATATTTTTTTCCCATAAGATAAAAACATTTTCTGGAAAACGTACAGACTAGCTAGCAATACTGAAATCCTTTCAAGATTTACAAATGTATGCTATCCGCCATGACGTTCAAATGAAAACAAAGTTGGCAAATACAGGACAAAAAAAATCAGATTACTCTCCAATCAAACAGATGATAAAGGGAAGCAACTCAAAATATATGCATAAAAGATTCCACAGAAGCTTGAAACAAAGATCATAATAAAATAAAAGATAGAAAATGGAGAGAAATATTACATTTAACAATTAACTACTGTTCTCTAGAAGGATATCAAATCATCTTCAAAATAGCTTGCAATCTAAAATATTCTAACACAATTGCTACAAAAAACTGTGGGTTGAACAGTGCCGTTATATAGTCTGAAATATACCGTAATCTCATTCATTAAAACTATTCAAGTCATATAATGCATGCCTACCATTCATCAAATTCTACAAAATGTGTAAAAATCAAAATTATGATTAACAACCACAGCAGGTAAAAGATTTTTTCACAGAATCATGAAAGGCTGTCCACAGAGACTACTTTTCCACAGAACTACTTTTACAACTACTTCTGAAACTGCTTCTCACTAATGCACATAATGACTACTGAAACACATCGTTTTTGTACTGCTTCTATGATGTATGAACGATCAACACTGGGTCAAGAAAGCTTATGATCCAATCCCACTAGTAAATGCATCACAGGAACATCAAAAACTGTCCTGTTCTGAAGTCTGAAGCAGTTAAACAATGTACTACATGTGCAATGCTATAAGAATACAAAAAACAGAAACATAGGTAATTGAGTAATTTTTTTTTTTCAATATAGTTTTGCATTAAAAGGTTAGGATAGTTATCCAGGATTGCCTGATATTTTGCCTCTTGATTTTCATCCAGATTTTGAGTTTTCACCCTGAAGAATTATCTATTTATTCACACTTCTATATTATGTTCTATGAGTTTCCATGCATATCACAGTAATCTGAAAGAATTTCCTAACAGCATATTCTATGACAACAAGTGCTCTATGATAAACTGTACCACTGTAGCAGCCAAGAATATAATAACCACTTTTACCAACTAGGATAATCATTCACTAATATGAACCTGTCTGGCACACAAGGTGGTATATGTATATACACATACACGCTAATGTATATATGCACCCACAAATGCATTTTCATCCATGCACTTGCATTTGCATCCTTGTGATACAACTTCTACAACAGAAATACTATAATGTATTGATTTAGAAGTATCAGTATTCCTGATGAAGAACATTGGATGGATGACAACCCACATCATCTTGTTCTTGCCACACAGGTTCACATTAAAGGATGATTGCTGTATGTGTTACTGCAGTTATTACATTCCTTTTGCTTTTACATTTCTGGGTGTCTTTGTAACATACTCAGAAAATAACACGAAAGATGAAGAGAATGAGTTACATAGGCTCTTACAGTGGTTACCATAATGAACTTGTTTTAGCCGATTTTTTCTTTGGGTCATAATTTTGGAGTTAAAGAGTTACACTATGATTAGTAAATAAAATCAAAATTCAAATGAAGTTCCTACAACATATGTCGGGCAAAAGTTGGAAAAATGGCAAGAAATCCAGGCCATGGACACATACAGGATAAAAGGAGTAAAACCTCCTCCACCATGAATGTTCTGGCACAACTAATGTTGGACTGCTGATTTCTTCAATTGCCAGGAAGGTCTACAGTTCTCTCTTGCCATAAAATACACTACTTGTCTAATAGAGTATCTGGACCCCCACTAATGATGTAAAATGACACTCTCTCTGTAACTGAGCTTGAAAAAATGAGAGAAATTGATTACTTTACCCATCTCTCCTACACCCATGCAGAGAAGGACAATTTGAGGAAGTGTGTTAACCCCTACAATCCAAATGAGATGACAATCAGATCATGGAAAATATTGGGTTGAGAGGTGGGTAACCTGAACATGCATTCCTGGGAAAATTTGGCTGAAGACCGGAGTGAAGGGAACTTGCCGTCATGAGAATTTCGGTTAATGGTTGGGGTAACTTTAAAAACTCCCCATGAGTACACAAAGCTCTTGGATTATGATTAGATTCAGTGTGCTTTTGCATAATTTCCATTGAGTAACTAATGTTTAATATACCTTCCATGAACCATGACTGGAAGAGCGCCATCTCCATTGAGATTACTATCTTTATGCTCAGGATACTATGCCGGCCCGCTGTAACCAGTAGTGCAAGTTGTATTACAGAAAATTGAATATCATGAAAGAATGAAATAAAATCAAATTAGAATAAAATGATTGTCCCTGTACCCCTCGGTCTACAAGCCACACCCTGTAAGAGTGGCCACATAAGTAAGCCTAATGCCCATTTTTGGGCCATATGCATGTAATGAAGCACCCACATCCAAAAGGTTAATGAGCAGGATTATGACATGTGAATATTTGGTTTAGAAATGCTTTCTTTTTGAGTTCATGCAATGTGCCTCTCTCCAAACAACCACAGTGGTATCAAAAGTCTGTAAAATTGTGTAGGAAACTGGTGTTAATCCTCCCATAGTGTGGCAGTTCAAAAACTACCACAATACCAGAATATAGTATCTTATATGTGGTAATTTTTTGTTTCCCACATCTATTTAACGTTGCAAACACTATTTTTTGTTCCAATTATTCACATTATAAAATATAGAATTCTTTTGTTGTTTTCCATTGCAAATAACCAATTTTGGAAATAAGCAAAAGCATAACAACAAATAATATTGTTTATGGCAGTACTCCTTCAAATCCACGAACATCACAATGTAAACTGAAATCTTACATAACACGGGCTTTGCCTTTGAAAGGCAGCCGCGCGTTATATTTTCGTCATTTAGCGGTGACTATAAGGCCGGTGCATCTTAAACTATACGCTATCCCCTTCTATTTTTTCCGCTCTATAAGATGGCGGTGTCCATTTTCCTCTATCTACGTGCGTCGCGGTCTTCAACCTCTACCAAAGTATTAAATGTTGCACAACATTCTCATTGTTAACCTGCAGTAATTCTTTATAGTACAGATGCAATCGCCAGACACTAAATCTCCAACTCCACATCAAAAGAGTTATTCAACAATCTAAGTTGCTGTGACTGAGCATGCCCTTCGAGGAGGGTTGATGGGGGCTCAGCTCCCAACATCCTCCTGGAAAACATTATGTTCACCTCGGTATCCACAGCATGATAAGAGCTGAAACTTGGGAGCACCAAGTGGAGTTAAGCAGTGGTCGCTGCTTTCCACAATCTTTTACCTTGATTTGTGGCTGTGTAGCGTTTGTGTCTGCAGATGATTTCTAGTACAACCTTTAATACTCTACAAGAACATCATCTTCAATTTGCCAATGCATCCAT